AAGTCTGGCCCACAACTGCATCCCTAGCTACTCTACATGGGGCTGAGTCCCACCCACTCCCACCCAGGGCAATCTGCACTGTGCTCCAGCTTGCACCTGCCCCATGCCAGATGGCACGAAGCCAACCCTGCTAGCATACATTGTGTCAGGCAGGTGAAGTGGGTGGAAGATGGCTGGGATCTGAAGCTGAAGCCCCATGCACTAAGACAGGAGTCATCCAGCTTCAGCTTCCCCTATGCTTTTGTTTCCCCCACACTACCTGCTGTCCAGAGTGGCACAGCAGGGGCAGCAGGAGGAGGAGCCGCTGGAGGTCAGGGCAGCCAAGCAGAACCCAAGTGGCTGCAACAGCACCAGGAGCAACCCTGCTGGGAAGTTGTGCACACTTGCTGATGCTGGCCTGGGCATTGCTGTTGGCAAGTGCAGGGCTGGTGCAGGAGGGAACATGGCACAGGTTTCCTCAGGCTGGAGCAGGCGGAGTACTTCAGGGGCAGCCATGGGGCAAATACAATCAATTGGTGGGCTGGATCTGGCTTATGGGCCATATTTTGCCCAGCCTGAGTTACAGCAATCCTGCATGCCCAATAATTAGTGGCATGGTTATAGAGTAAAATGTACTTCAGTCCTCTTCTTGGTTTCTTTGAGTTCACTCTGTCACCTCTCAGGCTTTATCTCATAAACTCTAATTTCCTATTTCACACTCTTGGTTCCTGACTTACCTCATGCTGTTGTATATCAGTCATGCTTACTCAGCAGGTCCAGCTGAGTTCAAAAACCTATAGTCCTTCCATTTTTGAAGTTTCTGAGCAGTGGAGAATGGTTCACCAGAAATCCTTCTTAAAAATATTTTTCTTATATCTGAATAGTTAAGCAAAGCATATGGCAGAAGGTGCAAAAGGATTTGAAAACCAAATAGTCTATATACATTTATCTCGTGCAATGGTTTACACTTCCCAGATGAGATAAATCTGTGTAGTTTCTGCAGTCACCCTAGTATGCCAGTCTTGTTCCTCTAATCAGCTCCCTTTCCAGAAACCTTTCCTTTTTTAAATGCAGAAGCTCTTTGGATCTTCTGCTTCTCTGTCTATAGCATTGCTTGTCAAAACCAGTTCTGCAATTAGACTGGATTCACCCCTCCCTTAGATACACTAATGCTCAGGGTATAAACATCATTGTAGCCAGGTTCATTACCTCAACTGTACCTGTAGTGTAGAAGAACCTACTTTCAGTTAGCATTTGTCTGTTGATGCCACCTGTCATTGCCAGCCACAAGTCTTCTCCTTATACAGCAGGATATTCAACAAGTCTGCTTGAGATAGATTGCATTTATCCCCGATTGATTCAGTAAGGGAAAGGCCTTCTTGGCATGCAGTTAAATTCTACTTGGCATTTGTTAAATTTATGCAAATATCACTGTGTGAGGGAGGTTCATTTGACATTTCTCTTTTATAAACCCTCTGAGCATTCCCTTCAGGCTGTGCTAAATGATTAATCTCATCTAAACATTTGTTCCCTCCCTTAAAGCTTTCTTTGCTATGCAGCATGCAATCTTTCTGGACTAAATGGTGACATACTCTTAAATCCAACTGCTGTAACAGCATCACCATTTGACCTCTGGTCTCATTCTCTGGAGAACATCAGGAGCAGACAAGAAGGACCAAACACAGAGGGTTAATCTCCATGTTTTTAATTTGTAAGATTTTTTGGGGAAAAGAACAGGCTTTTATATTATGTTAATATAGTGGTCAGCACAATGAGTCATTGCTCCTTATGATGCCTTTGGATGCTGCTGGGCATGTCTACACAAGATGCCACATTGCTGTAGCGATGAACTATGGCAATTCATAGATTCATAGATGTTAGGGTCGGAAGGGACCTCAATAGATCATCGAGTCCGACCCCCTGCATAAGCAGGAAAGAGGGCTGGGTCTAGATGACCCCAGATAGATACTCATATAAGACCCCCAGGGTAGGGGAGAGCACCACCTCCCTTGGGAGCCCGTTCTAGACCCTGGCGCCACTAACTGTGAAGAAGTTCTTCCTAATGTCCAGTCTAAATCTGCTCTCTGCTAGCTTGTGGCCATTATTTCTTGTAACCCCCGGGGGCGCCTTGGTGAATAAATACTCACCAATTCCCTTCTGTGCCCCCGCGATGAACTTACAGGCAGCCACAAGGTCGCCTCTCAACCTTCTCTTGCGGAGGCTGAATAGATCCATGTAGTTCATCACTATGGTGACAGCATTGGTGGGCACATACTGTGATGCCGATGCTGTCATCATAGTGACAAGTTGTGTTGCCATAACTTGTTGCTACAGTGATGTAGCATCTGAAAATAACTGCACTGCTGGGACTGCGCAGTACCAAATGCGTGGTCCCGGGCACACCCACTGAGGTACAAATAATTAATCTGCCCTAGGCAGATACTCCATATTTAGAAAGAGTTTTGCTTATATCCCCTTAGCACCATTCTGGTAGTTCAAATTATTTTAAAATGATTGCAAGATTCATTTACTTTAAGACTTTTGCCTGTATTCTTCTCAAGTAGCATGAGGGAAATTCAAGCTTATTGTATCTGCCTCTGACAAAGGCTGGGTAGATTCTTTGCAAGCTTGTGTAGGCT